ATGGGCGGTGGTAGTCACTTACCATCAGTAGAGCTGCATGCTCGTTTGCCCCCTGCGTTGTAAAAAAAAAATAGTAATTTAAAATACAACGTTTGCTGTTTTCCAGTACAAATAGTAAAGGCAGGCTATATTTTGAATGGTTCCATGAATATGATCTCAGTTATGAATGGATGAGTCATTATACTAGTTGAGGTAAACGGACGGACGGATTTCAACACTAGTTATGGTATTTTAGTAGAATGTTAGCTTTTTTTTAAGCAACTTAGAATGGCAAACAAGCTAACGGCGATATAGAGATATGAGTTATACCACGGACATAACAGAGTATACTGTTTCGCCCATGATACCCCCCATGCGTTGTCATTCCTGAGGACTCAGGTGTTATTCCTCTGTACCCTGTAAATTCATTGCCATAACCCACCGTTCAAACCGAAACACAGCCATGCATGCATGCATGCAGGACTTAGTCCGTAAGTAGTAAGTAAGTGATAGTTACTTGCTACTTAGGGACTTAGTCCTCAACTATTAAGTTATCTTAGTCTCCCCTTACGTCACTCATAGGAAAGAAAGAGATAAATAGATTAGTAATGTTAGCTTCTTGCCCGTTATTTCGTATGCATCATGGGCGAAACAGTATATTCTGTTATGTCCATGGTACTGCTCATGTCTATAGGCGACGGTTACCACTTTCCATCAGGTGGGCCGTCAGCTTGTTTGCCATTCTAAGTTGTATAAAAAAAAATGCATGGATTTCAGAAGCAGGAAAGCCAATAAAAGAGATCTCTACTAGGCAGTATATTACGATAAAACATACAACAAATTTTAAATTAGCCCTTGTTAGCCCCAAATTTTAAATTAACACAACTGTGTAACCTCATCCAATTTGATGGAGTAGTTTTTGTGTGATAATGAAACAAACATACAGACAGATAGAGAGACAGAGAAAATTTGTTAAAATGGATTATTTTGTCGTCATAATTTTATCATATTAAATAAAATCATATAAGTGAAATTACAAATTATTGAAAAGTGTCTCTATGTCCGATCGCATAAGAATTACATTAGTAAGAGCTAAGAGTATTTAAGTTACCTCTATGTTCCATTTGTCTGCTAGATTGACTGTCATATCTGCCTGTTTACTGTATACATAGATAATCTTTTTTTTTCTTACAAGCTTTTATTTAACTTCACTTTTTTTTTTGTTCACTCCTGTTTTTGTTTCTTTGTGTACAGCGCCTTGTATCTATATTGTTACTACTTGTGAAAACCTATTAGTGGCTTATTTTGTGATCCTAAACTGTATTTTTTTGCTCTAGTGTAGCCCTGGGTTTCCTGTGAATAAATAAATAAATTAATAAATAAATGTGGTAGTATTGTTTTACTGTTACCCTATTCCCTTTGGCCGCAACAGAATATCAGTGCTTTGCTCTTTTGAGGGCGAAGCAATAAACTGAGCTGTGGCCATTTTGTATTGTTATGGCGTGTGGCAAACGAAAAATTGTATTTAGCTTTATGTATTTTTTTTTTAATCATTTATGTTATCTCGCTTTTTATGTATATCAATATATGATGTAATTTGTGTTCTGTAAGTACCTAATGCAAATAAATTATCTATCTATTTGAAATGAAACAAGTCGAACCAGAATTTCTAGATGGATGTTTATGGCATGGTTAGTATGTAATCATGACATCATTACAAACATCGAAACGTACGTAATCTGTGTACATTAATAATCATTGGTTAGGGTACCGTCAGGTATGAAACCAGATTTACAGGTTAAATTTACAGTTCAAATACATACTTCTCTACTAGTATTTCTCAGTTAAGGTTAACAGTTCTCAGTTAACGTTTAGGTTGTTTTTTTTTTCATGAATGACAATAGAGTGGTAACCCCACCTGCGTTAACGGTATACGCTGGCGGGGCACCAGTGAGTGATGATAGGTGAGACGAAAAGACAGGTCATTTAGCCTATTATGTTGAATACATCAGAAATTTACCACGATTATTTCCAGAGGGGACCACGTGGAGGTCGACCTGACTCTTTTCATTATTATTTATTACTAAACATACCCTATATTGCTAGCAATATGACTGGTAGTGCGCATTACTAACAATCCCTTCCCCCCACGTTCAAATTGTGAAATGAATTTCCTGCCGAGGTTTTTCCTAAAGACTACAGTGTAAGGTTCTTCAAAACGAACCTTTATATTAAGGTTTCTTCAGGGTCGGCATCACCCTTATTCTTGAAGGCATCCATAGACTACAGTGACTGTCTACCATCAGACGGGCTGTATGCTTGTTTGCCACTTTTGTGGTATAAAAAAAATCTATCACAAGACTCTACTAGGGTTTCAGCCGTGAAGTAGCAGTATTTGAACTGCTGTATTTGCTTCGAAGGGTAAGATTAGGACGTGAAATTACGTTTAACATCATCATCATCATCATCATCATCATCATCATCACCATCATCATATCAGCCGTTGACTGTCCATCGCTGACAATAGATCTCGCCCATAGACTGCCATAAGGAAGCTCCAAGAGCCACCTGCATCCACTGACTCTCTACAATGTATTTGAGGTGGTCGCTCCATCTAGTGGAAGGTAATTCCTGTACGAGATATATACTGAAGTATATCTAAATCCTTAGCAATGGGAACGCATGAGGGGTACCATGGGTAAGGCAGTAGACTCTGATAACTTTATGGTAGTGTCCCTGTTAATTATAGGCGACGGTTACAACTTTCCATCAGGCGGGCCCTCAGCTGGCTTGTCGAGTTCATAACAAAATAAAGAATAACAATACCGGTGCTTGGTTAGAATTTTCAAAATACAATCGTTTGCTGAATTGCGTGGCTAGCCTTCTTTTTATAAAGCTATGGACTGTCTTGGTATGGTATGCCAATATGTTTTTTTTTTAATAGATAATAATGGAGTGGTAATCTCGCCTGCGCTATCGGTATACACTGGCGGGGCACCAGTGACAGAGGATAGGTGAGGATGCAGCAGGTCAGTTAGGTCATCGTGACGAACTCAACAAGAATTATTCACGATGCAGGCATTAGGGCATATTGCTAGCATATATATATATATATATATATATATATATATATATATATATATATATATATATATATATATATATATATATATAATCATTAGCCTCTGACTCTTCAACAGCATGTAATAACAAACTTCCTCAATGAATGAACTAATAAATCAATTGCCCTCAAGACTTCTTTAAAGCTATCGAATGCCCTTGTATGTAAGTAAGTACGTATATGTACTTCTAGGTAGAATATCGCAGTAAGTACATAATAATATGTAATAAGTACAGAATAAATTTAATATAATGTCTGCCTCTTTCCCCAGTTTATTAAAAAGTTTTATTAGTAATATATCCTAGCAAGGTGCATGTCGTATCTTATAATGTTTGTAAAGTATATGTTTTATCACAATGTGCAAAGCAACTGTAATAATTAATAATTAAAAAATAGCTCAAATGTTATATTATTGTGTGCGGGAACACCTACAGGCCTACTCTTGTATTTAATATCATTATCAATCCAATCTATTACCAATGACAATTTTGTACTGCACTTGTGAAATAACAATTTGTTATTAACTTAAAATTGGTATCGATTTGCAATAGTTTGCACTGACAAGTTGCACTAATATGCTTTAATTAGAACAGTATCGAACCATTATGTCTAGCGACGTATTCGTGAATGCATAACGTCTCTTTTTTTTTACAACACAGGGGGCAAACGAGCATGCGGCTCACCTGATGGTAAGTGACTACCGCCGCCCATGATCATCCACAACACCAGCGGCATTGCAGGTGTGCTGCCGGCCTTTTAAAAAGGAATATACTTTTTTCTTGAAGGTTATGTTGTCGTATCGGTTCGGAAATACTGCTGCTGGAAGTTGATTCCAAAGAATGGTTGTCTCAACTCCAATATTGGAATTTCAAGAGTAATCCCACTGATCTATATTATAACAAGGGTGGGTAAAATACGAAAGATGATTGCTTACTACGAGGGGAGGTCAAAAAGTTTGCGGAATAGAGGTTTTTTTTAATGGATGATAATGAAATGGTAACCCCCCCCCCCTGCGCTATCGGTATACACTGGTGGGGCACCAGTGAAGGATGATAGGTGAGGATGAAGCAGGTCAGTTAGCCCATCGTGACGAATTCAACAAAAATTGTTCACGATGGTTTCCAGGGGGAACCACGTGGAGGTCGACCTAATAGGGCATATTGCTAGGAATGGGGCTGTCAAACTACTACTACAACTACTATTATTAAGCACCTCGTTAAGAGTATGGTAAAATTTGGCCACGATAAAGAAGTCAAGTTTGCAATTTTGGCCAATTTTGACAGCAAAGATAAACCTTTTTTTTTCGATGGTATAAACAAATTATATGAGAGATCCGAAAAATGCAATAAGGTTAAGGGAGAATATATTTAAAAAGGAAAAAATAGTTTCATGTTTAATTTCAAACCCCTTCCCTCTCATTCCGGGAACTTTTTGACCTCCCTCGTATCTAAGGGACATTATGCTGTCGTTGGTGGATATCACCATCAATTTATATAAAGAGTATAACGCCCAGTATATAATTTTTTTTTATTTTTAAATTCGGTACCCAACAAATTAGTCATTTCCGTTATTATTAACTTTTAGTCATTCATTGTCCATTACCTAAGAAGTTTTCTAATGTTTCAATAATATAAGTGTATATTATTGAACCTTTTTTACAAACTTATTAAATGAATTTGTTTCAACATTCCCAATATATTAATGAACATTCCAAAAACGTCTCCTAACAACTAATTAGACGCGATATCGCAATTGTTATTACGGTTAATGTTCGCCACCGTTAACCTGTTTGCGGTGCGTATGAATAATGCGTACTCACGTCTCATCCAGTAGCAGATCTACGATCATCCGAACAACAACTAGAATTCCAATTAGAGTAAACACGTCATCATTTCGCGGAAACACAGAACCCTTATGACTCATTGATAGGAAACAATCCTTGGGCCTTGATCAAGAAGAGCGTTCATCATAAAACCACTTCGGCGCGACGCATTACGCCATTTAATTGTGGACCGTCCAAAGAGACACACGCTGCCCGTGTCGCGATCTGTGTACAAACAAAAATGAGTTCTAACACTTGCTCGCACGTTCTAAATGTGCTGTACGCGGTCCTGGGACTGGCCCTCGCCTGTACAGCTCTGTGGTTCTTCGTGGAAGTGAAAGAGATAACCAATTTGCGAAACAGCAACCATTACCTGTTGGACTACAATCTCTATTGGCCTCAAGTTATACCGTGGTTGTTTATTATAGTCGGTGTCCTAGTTATGTCAATATCTTGCTGCGGGTTCGTCGGCACCACGAAGAGGAAGTCTGGAATGCTCAGAGTTCACATTACCTTCATCGGAATAGCGATAGTCGTGTCAATAGCTGTTGCGGTGATCGCTTTAGTGTTCGCGGACAGTAAATCCTCGGATAATTTCATCAAGGACACCATTTGGGATGCTTATTTCCAAATGAAAGAAGATCACGACGTCGAGAGTGCTTTTGGAAGGATCGAGAGGAGGCTACAGTGCTGCGGCGCCGAGGGTCCTCGCGATTACGTCAATTGGAAAACAGATTTCCCACAGTCCTGCTGCGACGTGTACTATCACGGTTGGTTAGAACCGTACTCGATCAACTGCGAAATAACGAACAAGCTTGCGAACGAACGTCACGGATGTTCGACGGTAGCGTCCCAATATGCCAGGATCATCATCAAAGTGCTGTCAGGTGTAACTGTATTTATAGCTTTAATTAGTATCATCATACTGTCAGTAACAATTAAAATTCTAAAGTCCTTAACACGACGACCTAGAGTAATGCAGGCGCAACATGAATCTGAAAGCAAGAAGGTTTTAATATAGAGACACTATGTTTGTGATTGTGAATCGAGCGTGTAATATCACCTAATTAAGGTATTGTGCTGTAATGTGATGGTTATAAAGGTCATAATTGAATGACAAGGCTCGAGTGATGTACCAATGTATTTATTTATGGTATTTGATGTATAGATGGAGCGAGAGGTAACGACGTGGTATTATTAGTCAGTGAATAAAAATTGAAGTTTTCTCTTTCTTCTTACAGAAAAGTGACTAACTTCACACGGTTTACGTAATGTTTATAGACAAAGGGCTTTAGGGTCTCGCCAACCGACTGATTTCTATGCAGTATTGCGTAATTTGTTTTGTCAGATGTGAGAAAATGGTTAGGAAATATAAGTGGCGATGTGTTTTTTGAAAGTCCAAAGCTCGCACTGAATACGAATATAAGTTACGAAAGAGTCTTTAGCATATAGAAACGATTAGAATAAGTTATTAAGTATAAGTAGGCATTATAAACTGTTTCCTTTGGCTCGACATTAATTTAATATCAAATTGTTTGTTCGAGACTGCATTGATTAAAGAAAAAAACCACAGAACTGTCAAAGTCAGGACAGTTTAATTGGCGGGAAAACCCACAGATTAATTACTATTTTAATTTAATATCTTTGGAAACAAAACATTGCATTTGTAAGTTATAAGTTACCCACCTTGTGTTTCTATTTGTAATTTACTACTGTCAGTGGATTATATATGTATTATATTATCACATTATTTGTAAGTTATTGCTTACTGTTATAAATTAATTCGTATCTCAAAAATCGAAGTTAGACCGATTGTTGTGTGTATAATGTTAAACTTATTTTACTTTAACTACCACACGTGGCTGTTTTTATCTGTGGCACATCTGTGGCATCACATTAATAATAAATATTAAAAAAAAAGTATATAAATTGTAGATGTTTATATAAAACAAATTATATTAACCTTTATTGATTGTATACTAATTTGAGATTTTGTTACAAAAAATCCGACTTCAATTGTAATAAAATTAGTATAAAACCAAAACTTTTTCAACTCAGATAAGCGTCATCATAATCGGTCCAGTAATGGTGAAGACATAAAAAGTACAGTCGAAGGAATTATCAACGTCTTTTTCGAAGTCAATAGAAAATACGCCTGTCCGCACTATTTGAAATATTGTACCTATGTTTCTATATATAATATTAGTAAATAACTTATTAAAATGTGTTAAGAAAAAAACTTGTTGAACGAATAAATGTACAAACTTACAAATTGTTGTATTGAATTGCTCTGACGCTTGGTGGGATTTCGAGTATGTTTTAGATAATATACTATTCCAAAACTTCACCTGACAGGTTTCGTTTTTCAAGTCTCTTTAAAAATTTGACCTTTAAAATCTAATCTCAATTGACTGTCTGTGCACGCGATATCTTATGCGTGATCAGAATAAAAAGTAGCTTATGCCCTTTAAAAGAAATTTAATATCATAAAATTTGGCATATTCATTTGATTGAGCTATTTGTCAAAGCACTCACTTTCATATTTGTAATAAATACTAAATAAGGATTCTTGTAAATATTTTAATACCACTGCATCGTATAAACAAAACAAAATATAATTTCTATATTGATAGAGTACTTACGCAATCACCTTGTAGTCGATTGGAAATCTCATAGAACATATGTATGTCATCGAAAAACCAGTCTCTTATGCAGGCACTACGATGCCCAACACTCGGTTTGTCGAACAGTCGATGTTGAGGTCTTGAGGAGCGCGCGCGCAGCCACGTCCGAACATTTATAAAGCCCGTTGCAACATTATCGCATCTCTCATTCCGTTGACAACAATCCGCGAGGACGGACGATAGTTACGATGGCTAAAGAAGACTTTTTGAAGGCCATCCTCTATTGTGTAAACATTGTATTCGGTGTGTTCGGCTTGGTGTCCGCTGCCACTGGAATTTGGTTCTTTGTGCAATTAGCCGAGTTTGTGCGGTTGAGGAACACCAACCATTACTTGTTGGACTATAGAGTGTACTGGCCCCAGGTGGCGCCATGGCTGTTCATACTGTTGGGACTGTTTATAATAACGGTGGCTTTCTGTGGATGGTGTGGTGCTAACAGGGAGAGCAGGGGACTCCTTGGACTTTACGGGATCTTCTTAACCCTGATCATTGTTGGACAACTTATCGCGGCTACCCTGATATTTGTATTCGTCGACGGCGAAGACACGGATCGTTTTATCAAGGACACAGTCTACGATGGATATTACAATTCTCAATCAAACCCTGATGTGTTCAAAGCTTTCGGATGGATCGAAAGGAAACTCAAGTGCTGCGGTGCGAACGACGCAAGAGATTACAGGAGTTGGAGGAACGATCTGCCTTTGACTTGTTGCCTGGACAGCTACTACAGGGCCACCTGCGACTTCACAGACAAGGAAGCCAATGAAAGATTGGGATGTGCTAAAGTGGCCTCAGTGTACACAAAGATTATAAGTTCATCAATCGCCGGCGCGTCTCTCATCATTGCTATTGTCGAAATAACAGGCGTTATCATCGCGTGGAAACTGTTCCATTCAATGAGGGAGGTAGAACACTATATAACAGAAAGAAAAGAAGGAGAAACCGAGTGTTAGGTGCCGAATGAGTCAGTATTAAAGAACCGCCGAATAGTATATCTTTGTCGATATGAACGTCACAACTGTCGAGTATTTTCACGCCATATTTACGCCGAGACGAAACGAACTACGATTCGGCCTGAAGTAACTTTTCCTACGCTTACCAGAGAAAGTTTTCCTGTAGATCTTTCATGGTGTTTTATTGCATTTGCTCTGTATAGGGAATAAAGTTCGTTTCCTTACTGTAAAGGAAATACAAGAAATCTTTATTTCGCGCTGCTATCTCTCTACTTATATGTGATTAGTTTAAGCTTTTCAAACATTCCAATAGTATCGCCCCGCGGTCACTGTTCATGCTTGATTATGTAATGCAATTTCTATTTTAATTCGTCATTAGAGTTGGTTTCGGCCACGCCTTAGGTCAAAGTGTTCAAGACAGATTCGAGCGAGTGGGTTCAATCAGCTGCATCCTTCTCAAGTACGTGATTCATAATGTACCTTCATTGACTCATGTATAATGAAACTCAATTGTAGCCAAGACTCGGATCTGACTGACCTCGCCCCCCCACCAAGTGTCACAACGTGACACACATTTTATAGTAATTTAAGTAAGTTGTACCTACGACTGCAGGTTTTGTAAGACTATGCTAATGTGCGCTGTATTATAATGCAGCCATGGAAGTGATATGTCAATGGTATGATAGAAGGTCGTGTATGAGAAAAGATTGACCTCATTTTAGCGTGTTTCGCATCTTGTTAGTGAGGTTTTACTAATGGTAGTACACTATATGGAAGACGCGATTGTGAAGTAACTTATAAAGACTTGACATCTTTGTTTGGTTTGCCACTATTGGTATGTTTTTGTGTAATTGTTTACGCAACACACGCATTCGTGTGGCATAGTGATGTCATAGAATTATTGATATTACAATTTTTGTTTTTAACTCGAAATATATTTTCATTATATTCAAATGTGGTGCCAATATTTTAGAGTATTTACTATATATTTGTGTATCGTTTTTTTTTTATTTACAAATTAACTGTTTTTGATCTGTAAATGTTGTCCGTCTCTTTATAAGTATTTTGTAAATGATAATTTGTAAGTTACAAATCTATGGAACGAATTTCCGTCCTTTACAATAACTACAGCCATATTTATATAATTTTATTAAATAATTAAGTAAATAGTATAATTAATATAAAGAATAATATGTGTGACAGTGTGTTTTCACATGCCAAAGAATGAAATGTAGTGGTACAAATCCTGAGATCATATATTAAAAAATATATATACGAGGTCTGTCCGGAAAGTTCGTATAAAAGTGTTTTGGAATGCGAGAAAGAGGAGTGGGGAGGCCAGGTAAGCGCAGGACCCCTTCCTTATGTCCCTAACAATGCTTCAGTTCTGGTCTGACCGCCGTGCGGTGCGAACTGGCTTGTCACGCCATCTGTGAAGTTACCTCTTAACGAAACCCCGTCGGCATGGAGCCCGCTTCCGTTGAAGAGCAGCGCGTCGTAATCAAGTTTCTCTCGAAACTCGGCAAGAATGGCCGTGAAATTTTTGCCGATCTCAGAACAGTTTATGGGGATGATGCTGTAAAGGAACCAACCGTCCACAAGTGGCTAAAAAGATTCAGAGAGGGCCGAGAAAGCGTTCAAGATGACCCACGTTCAGGACGTCCTTCCACTTCACATTCCGACGAAAACGTGGAAAGAATTCGAACTTGTGTTAATGGGGACCGTCGTTTAACGGTCAGACAGGTGGCTGAAGAGCTTAATTTGGGCAAAACCGTGGTCCACGAAATTCTAAGAAACGAACTTCAAATGAAAAAAAATTTGCGCCAAGATCGTTCCGTGAGTTTTTGAGTAAAAATTCCATTACGGTGACCGAACACCCCCTATTCGCCGGATTTGGCCCCGTGTGACTTCTTCTTGTTCCCAAAAACCAAATTGGTACTTCGGGGGCGGCATTTGGGGGACATAAATGAGATAAAAAAAGCTACGACGGGGCAGCTGAGAAACCTACAACCAGAGGACTTTCAAGGAGCCTTCTCACAGTGGAAACGGCGTTGGCACAAGTGCATTATGTCACAGGGGGAGTACTTTGAAGGGGATAAAATTGATTTACCTGAATAATTGTAAAATAAAATTTTTAAAAAACTTTTATACGTACTTTCCGGACAAACCTCGTATATATATTTTGCATGCAAAAAATATCTATGAATTCATAATGTTTAGTATAAGTTTATAACCATGAAATCACACTACCAATAATAAATTAGTTTTTAGTATTTAAGTTATTTTTATACATAAAATATAAATTAATGAATCGATTAAGTTGAAACTAGTCTTAAGATTCGTTTCGTTTGTAATAAAATATTATATAGAAAAAACATCTTTTTTTTTATTTAATTTATTTACCCATTAGTAATTTAAATATGCAAGTATAATAAATTCTGTTACACTTTATTCTAGTATTTTTCATTCTATTGTTAATTTTTTATATAATTAAATTGATACTGTGCAAAATTTTATCAATGTTCGTGTAATTCACACGATAGGTACACTCAAAGAAGGAAAGAGAGAGACAAATACGTTTACAAATTTATTATTAGTACAGTTATATTCACAGCAATAAATTTAGTTTCCCTTATATGCAAATTAGCTTCTTAGTCACAAAGCATTTCTGACTTATGACTCATATTTTCTACTATATACATGCGTATTAATTAAATCATGATTCATAAATAACACGTAGAAAGAGATACCATAAAACATTCCATAGACAAATAGAAAGATGGTATCCGTATAGTGGGACAGCTATGTTACATAAGACGATTTCTTTTACGCAATATTTGTTGCATCATTGATTTCACTACCAATTCAATTTAGACGCATATTTATTCACATTTCGTGATGAAAATAACAGAAATGTCGAATATCTACTCTATTAAAGACACATTAACTTAATCTATGGCCATTTTGAATGTCTAAGTATCTAGTATTTGTATTACACTTTATTAGCTTTGTCACGGTATTCAGCCAATGACATAGAATATATATGTATTTACAAAATACGAATAGACAAGTATCTTGTTTTTTTTTTTTTTTTATTATGAGACAATATTTAAACAGGGCAAAGGAATTCGATTCACAATTGACAAGGTGTTTTTTTTTTATGATATAATGAGAAATAAGCTGATGGAAAATGGAAAGTGGCAACTGCCGCGTATAGACATGAACAGAACCGTGGATATTACAAAGCATGCTGTGACACCTATGATAATCTTTATGTGATGCAATTTCTCAGGACTTTTATTTTGACCAATCTTTTCATACACGCTCACCGGTTACGGGTACTTTTAATTTGGCCCTTCTTCAGCACGTCGCCTATTTGGTCGACATACGTCCGTCTAGGGCGGCCCCTACCGACATCTCCATTCATTCTTGCTCGATAAATCTCTTTCGTAATTCTTCTTTCATATATCTTCTCCAAATGGCCAAACCAATGCAATATTAATGAATATTTGAATCATATATGAAAAAACTATAAATAAATGTAACAAAATCAAATTTTAATAACAGACATACAACAGTATTCAACATTTTATTACAGCGTTAATTGATGTTTAATTAGCAATTCAATTAACATTGTATATACCAACATAATCATTAAAGAGATTCTTGTAAATGACGATTATAGCTTTTTGTATCCACGTATTGTATTACTTATTTGTTAAAAAGGCGAGGGGTGAGGGGCGGGAGGTATATGTGAGTCATAGATGGTTTTTTATACAACTTGAAATGGCAAACATGCTGACGGTCCACCTGATGGATAGTCGTAACCGTCACCTATACACATGACATAATAGAGTATACTGTTTCGCCCATGATACCTCCCATGCGTAGCCATTCCTGAGGACTCGGGTGTCCTTTGGACCCTTTAAACCGAAACACAGCCATGGATAAACTCTTTATTTACATTAAAATTTTATTACATTTAACTTTTTATTGAAAAAAATTTTTTATTGTAATTTGAGGAATATGTTGATAAAAAAAGATAGACTCGGTAAGTGGCGGTTGGAAGCAAAACTACCTTTGCCGGGTCATTTTATAATATATACATTCATGTATTGGTGATACAGTACCTAACAGAGGTATAAAGATTTTTTTTTAATAATTCGTTATACTTTTTTGTTACACTTTTTATAGTGTAAGGTCTAATAGGCAAACAGCTATGTCGATTCGTGCTTATGTTTTTTTTTAGTGTATCGATTCCGATTGTATGCGTCCACTGATCCCGTTAACCAGTGAACCGACGTTTCGACTCAATGAGGTTACAATGGTGTATTACGTCACATTATAATCTCGTGTAATTGACTGATTTAAATGACGGTCCCCATGTACAATTGAGCTAGGCATGGAAAAAACTGGTAACACTCCGAAATCTATATATCGGGTTTCTCTGGACATTGATGGCGGAAATAATATATCACCCACTCCAATATCGCTCATATTAGCTCGTCCTACACTGCATTTGCTCATTATTTTATGTTTATGCGTCTGTTTATTATTATATATAAGGAGTTTATTTCATTTCCACAAATTACAGATTTTTTTTTATATTATTTTAAGGGCTTTTACCTTCTTCAAGTATATCAGTCCTATTGTACCCTGAACTGATTTCTCAAACAAAACTCTATCTACCTTCCCTAGACGCGGAAAGAGAAGAATTAATGGGCATCAATAATTTACAGAGATGTTCAGAAAATTCTGGTTTAAGTTCACCTAACATAGATTGAATAAGACCAACATTAAATTTATTTAAGTTAAATTGGCGCATGAAATCTTCTCTTTCCTTCGTGTTAATACGACACTCTAATAGAATATGATGCACATCATCGATGGTATTACAAGTTTGACAATGGGGTGAAAAGGACTTTCCCATCATGTGTGCAAATTTTTCTGATGGATAATGACCAGTTCGTAGACGAACAGCTAATTTAATACAGTACCTATTGATTTTAATTCCATAAAACCAAGGAATATGTGGAGGTTCAGCCTGAATAGTTTTATACCAAATACCTGTACATATTTCTAGTTTAATACAAAACCTATATAGTTATACTGCGTGAGCACGTGTAAATATGTAAGTACACCAAATGACTAATGCGTTGATTATTCTAGAATTGCATTCAATGATTTATTAGATTCCATACAGTTTAAAAAGTGATTAAATAAATAAATTAATAATATATTTATAACTAGTTTTTAAACGCGACTTCGTTTGCGTGATTAGGATGTATTGGTGATTGCAATGAAAAATGACCTATATCACCATAATCATCATTATTTAATTACTCCTCTCCATCTAAAGGTTGCCTGCAAGAGATCGCTCTTAGCGATAAGGTCGCCCATTGTTTTCTCATTGTGATTATTTCTTGTAATTATTTATATTTATAATAAGTTTACTATTGTAATCTTTTGGAGGAAACAATAAAGAGTATCTATCTATCTATCTATCTATTTATTTATATATTTTATACAAAAATCCACAACTCTTAAAAACACGACTTACATGCTAAATCTCTTATAAATACAGCCAATAACGGATTTTATTTATGCAAACGAAAATTGTAACTCCAAAGCGAACGAAGTTTTCTTTTTTATACAACTTAGAATGGTAAACAAGCTGACGGCCCACCTGATGTAAAGTGGTAACCGTCGCCTATAGACATGAGCAGTACCATAGACACAATAGAGCACACTGTCTCGCCCATGATACCCCCATGCGCTGCCACTCCCGAGGACCCAGACGTTACTCCTCTGTACCCAGCAAATTCACGCCATATCCCACCCTTCAAACCGAAACACAGCCATGCAAACACAACTGCTTCACGGTTGAAACACGAATGGGACAGAGGTACCCAAGCA